GCCTCTATGGGGCCGGCGCCACCCAGGCCTCGGGAGGCCTCTGCACCTTTGGCAGAGCGTACGCTGCTCCTGCCTGCAGCCCTTGCACCCTGCCCCGCTACAGCAAGAAGCTCTGGGACACCTGTGGGCCCTGCTAGAGCCACCAGCAACAGTCCCAAAGACCCTGGTGCCGCCTCAGCCCAGCATGGAGAAGCTGAGCTCTGCGCAAGCTGCCCTGGCCTCCTGCAGCCCGTGACACCCAGCCTGCCTCCGGCCTGCCCACCCTCCCTCTCCCTGCCTCTCCTGCCCTTCTTGGCTCAATAAAGTTTTCCTGCCTCCAATTTCTGTTTCTTTGCCTCCTTTTCTGGAGTCATGAATCCCCCTGGGGATGGGGTTGTTCCAGCATTGTGAGGGGAAATAATGCTGCTGGGATGGCCAAAGGAAATGGAAAATGAAAGGGGACTGGGAATGTTAAACAGAAGTGGGGATAGAACATTGCATATTGATATGGGCATGGAAATGAAATTCAAGCTGTCCTAGAAGTAGTAGACGGAGACCGTTGGGAAAGGTTCAGCTTAGGAGGTGGTGAAAGGGAAGAAGACAGTGAAGAAGACGGAGATGGAAATGGACATGAGAAAATGGACAAGAATAAGAAGGAGATATATGTATAAGAAGATGAGAAGCAGTTAGAATAATGAAATAGAAACTGAAAGATAAACGTAAAAAGAAATACAAAAAGACAATTGTAAACAGAAAAACGCAAGGAGAAAGAGACAGAGAACAAGAAAAAGAAAGTCAAAGACAAAGAAAATTGCAATGATAAATACAAAGACAATAGCAAAGACAAAGACTAAGACCAAGACAAAGACAAGTAGAGAAAGACAATGACAAGGACAAAGGCAAAGACGAGGACAAAGGCGAAGACAAGGACAAAGACAAAAACGTAACGGAATTTAAAGTTGAAGCCATAAGGACCAGTAGGCACTTCATTTGATATCAACCCCAAGTTGCTTCCCAGGGCCATGAAACAACAAGGGGCTGGCACCATGGCAGTCTTTGCATCTACATGGCTCCCTGTCACTCAGAAAAATGCTGCTCTTCCACCGATTGATTGGAGGTCCATAAAGTTCCATGGACTTATACTTCTACAAACGGGAGTTGACGGCCTTCTGAAATGTTCTTGGACCTTTGCTGCTGTGTGTGCTGAGATCTGCCAGGGCTGAGGGATCTGCCCAAAGACAGATCTGCCTGGCAAATACAGTAGTGAGAGATTGCCTTGGCTGGGCTTGCCGTGCCCATGGGCAGGCCAGGAAAGATCTGCCCTCTACCCTGAACCCTGACAGTAACAACAGAGAAGCTGCAGTTGATGCAAGACTGTTTTATTTCAAGTACAGCAAAGAACAGACAGGAGAAAGACACACTAGGCACAGGCTGAATCTCTCCACACGCATCCTGGGAGCTGCTCTTCCAGGCTGGGCTGGTGCAGGGGCTGCTGCCAAGAGGAGCAAGAGCCCGGAGGGACCATGCAGGAATTGGGAATGTGGGCACAGTCTGGAGCAAGGAGGGGCAGAGGGGCAGGTGACGTGAACAGGGTGGAGGAGCGAGTCTGAGGCAGTCTAGGGGCTGCTGGGGTGTTGGACCTAGCAGGGCCAACAGGTGTTCCAAAGCTTCTTGCTGTAGCGGGGCAGGGAGCAAGGGCTGCAGGCAGGAGCAGCGTAGGCTCTGCCAAAGGTGCAGAGGCCCCCCGAGGCCTGGGTGGCGCCGGCGCCATAGAGGCCGCCCAGCCCCAGGGAGCCACCAAAGGCCGGTGCTCCGGAGGAGCCCACCACGGCCTGCTGGGGGAAGGAGCTGAGGATGGGGCCGGGGAAGGTGACCACCACGGGCGGGGGCTGGATGAAGGCGGACGAGTCGGGGCACTGGCGGGCGCACAGCTCGTTGCAGCTCTCAGCAATGGGCTGGGGCACAGCCACGCTGGTCCTGGGTGGGCACAGCTCAGCGCTGTTCTTGGGCGGGCACAGGTCGTAGCAGGACATCTTGGAGTGGGATGCGAAGGTGCTCTGCAAGAGAGGGCAACCATGGCAGGAGAGCAGCCCAGGGCAGCAGCGCCCCAGCCTCATGGCTTGGGGCTGGAGCAGGGAGTCGCCTGCAGAAGTGCTGGCACACTTACCCTTGTTCCTGAGGAGAAGAAGGTGGCCAGGGCACTGCTTGATCCACTCTGGCCCAGGCAGGGCTTTTATAGCAGCCCGGGCATTGCTCAGCTCCATCCTGGCCAATCTGCACAGGGGACACTCCCTCCTGCTGCTGCTGCTGCTGCTGCTGACACCTGGGCTGTGCGGCCCCTGCTCCTGCCTGATTCAGCATCCCCCACGTGCCAGCCCAGCACATCCCGCTACTGAAGCCATCTTGATCCTTCCTGCCACGTCAGATCCTTGATAGCCAGGATGGCACCCAGGAAGGGGTATGAGGAACACATGTCAGGACCTGGAGCATAAGGGGCAGGTGTGGCCAGAGCCTTCATCATGGAGAAGTTCTGTGCATCAGAGGAGTACCCAGCCAAACCAGACCCCATATGCATGGAGTCAGTGCCCAGGGCTTTCCATGAAACTGGTAACAAAGACTTCTGTCCATCCTGATCTTTACAGTGCAAAGAGTCAAGATATCCATCTGGCCCAGTATGATTCCAGCCCTGCCCCACCTATTTGGGCCATTAAAGGTGTTCCTGGACCCCATTACTGGGTGTCGTTCTCTTTATCAAATATGTGGCATGGCGGGAAGGACAGGGTCACTTGGGCAGCAGGATGTGCTGGGCTGGCACCTGGGGGATGCTGACTCAGGGAGGGGCAGGGGCCACACAGCCCTGGTGTCAGCAGCAGCAGCAGCAGCAGGGAGTGTCCCCTGTGCAGATTGGCCAGGATGGAGCTGAGCAATGCCAGGGCTGCTATAAAAGCCCTGCCTGGGCCAGAGTGGAGCAAGCAGTGCCCTGGCCACCTTCTCCTCCTCTGGAACAAGGGTAAGTGTGCCAGCGCTTCTGCTGGTGGCTCCCTGCTCCAGCCCCGGCCCCTGTGGCTCAGGCGCTGCTGCCCTGGGCTGCTCTCCTGCCATAGCTGCCCTCTCTTGCAGAGCACCCTCGCATCCCACTCCAAGATGTCCTACTACGACCTGTGCCCACCCAGGACCAGCGCTGAGCTGTGCCCAGTGCCCAGGACCAGCGTGGCTGTGCCCCAGCCCATCGCTGAGAGCTGCAACGAGCTGTGCGCCCGCCAGTGCCCCGACTCGTCTGCCTTCATCCAGCCCCCGCCCGTGGTGGTCACCTTCCCCGGCCCCATCCTCAGCTCCTTCCCCCAGCAGGCCGTGGTGGGCTCCTCCGGACCACCGGCCTTTGGCGGCTCCCTGGGGCTGGGCGGCCTCTATGGGGCCGGCGCCACCCAGGCCTCGGGGGGCCTCTGCACCTTTGGCAGAGCCTACGCTGCTCCTGCCTGCAGCCCTTGCACCCTGCCCCGCTACAGCAAGAAGCTCTGGGACACCTGTGGGCCCTGCTAGAGCCACCAGCAACAGTCCCAAAGACCGTGGTGCCGCCTCAGCCCAGCATGGAGAAGCTGAGCTCTGCGCAAGCTGCCCTGGCCTCCTGCAGCCCCTGACACCCGGCCTGCCTCCGGCCTGCCCACCCTCCCTCTCCCTGCCTCTCCTGCCCTTCTTGGCTCAATAAAGTTTTCCTGCCTCCAATTTCTGTTTCTTTGCCTCCTTTTCTGGAGTCATGAATCCCCCTGGGGATGGGGTTGTTCCAGCATTGTGAGGGGAAATAATGCTGCTGGGATGGCCAAAGGAAATGGAAAATGAAAGGGGACTGGGAATGTTAAACAGAAGTGGGGATAGAACATTGCATATTGATATGGGCATGGAAATGAAATTCAAGCTGTCCTAGAAGTAGTAGACGGAGACCGTTGGGAAAGGTTCAGCTTAGGAGGTGGTGAAAGGGAAGAAGACAGTGAAGAAGACGGAGATGGAAATGGACATGAGAAAATGGACAAGAATAAGAAGGAAATATATGTATAAGAAGATGAGAAGAGTTAGAATAATGAAATAGAAACTGAAAGATAAACGTAGAAAGAAATACAAAAAGACAATTGTAAACAGAAAAACGCAAGGAGAAAGAGACAGAGAACAAGAAAAAGAAAGTCAAAGACAAAGAAAATTGCAATGATAAATACAAAGACAATAGCAAAGACAAAGACTAAGACCAAGACAAAGACAAGTAGAGAAAGACAATGACAAGGACAAAGGCAAAGACGAGGACAAAGGCGAAGACAAGGACAAAGACAAAAACGTAACGGAATTTAAAGTTGAAGCCATAAGGACCAGTAGGCACTTCATTTGATATCAACCCCAAGTTGCTCCTCAGGGCCATGAAACAACAAGGGGCTGGCACCATGGCAGTCTTTGCATCTACATGGCTCCCTGTCACTCAGAAAAATGCTGCTCTTCCACCGATTGATTGGAGGTCCATAAAGTTCCATGGACTTATACTTCTACAAACGGGAGTTGACGGCCTTCTGAAATGTTCTTGGACCTTTGCTGCTGTGTGTGCTGAGATCTGCCAGGGCTGAGGGATCTGCCCAAAGACAGATCTGCCTGGCAAATACAGTAGTGAGAGATTGCCTTGGCTGGGCTTGCCGTGCCCATGGGCAGGCCAGGAAAGATCTGCCCTCTACCCTGAACCCTGACAGTAACAACAGAGAAGCTGCAGTTGATGCAAGACTGTTTTATTTCAAGTACAGCAAAGAACAGACAGGAGAAAGACACACTAGGCACAGGCTGAATCTCTCCACACGCATCCTGGGAGCTGCTCTTCCAGGCTGGGCTGGTGCAGGGGCTGCTGCCAAGAGGAGCAAGAGCCCGGAGGGACCATGCAGGAATTGGGAATGTGGGCACAGTCTGGAGCAAGGAGGGGCAGAGGGGCAGGTGACGTGAACAGGGTGGAGGAGCCAGTCTGAGGCAGTCTAGGGGCTACTGGGGTGTTGGACCTAGCAGGGCCAACAGGTGTTCCAAAGCTTCTTGCTGTAGCGGGGCAGGGCGCAAGGGCTGCAGGCGGGAGCAGCGTAGGCTCTGCCAAAGGTGCAGAGGCCCCCCGAGGCCTGGGTGGCGCCGGTGCCATAGAGGCCGCCCAGCCCCAGGGAGCCGCCAAAGGCCGGTGCTCCGGAGGAGCCCACCACGGCCTGCTGGGGGAAGGAGCTGAGGATGGGGCCGGGGAAGGTGACCACCACGGGTGGGGGCTGGATGAAGGCAGACGAGTCGGGGCACTGGCGGGCGCACAGCTCGTTGCAGCTCTCAGCGATGGGCTGGGGCACAGCCACGCTGGTCCTGGGTGGGCAGAGCTCAGCGCTGTTCTTGGGCGGGCACAGGTCGTAGCAGGACATCTTGGAGTGGGATGCGAGGGTGCTCTGCAAGAGAGGGTAGCCATGGCAGGAGAGCAGCCCAGGGCAGCAGCGCCCCGAGCAACAGGGGCCGGGGCTGGAGCAGGGAGCCACCAGCAGAAGCGCTGGAGCACTTACCCTTGTTCTGTTGGAAGAGAAGGTGGCCAGGGCACAGCTTGCTCCACTCTGGCCCAGGCAGGGCTTTTATAGCAGCCCCGGCATTGCTCATCTCCAGCCTGGCCAATCTGTACAGGGAACACTCCCTGCTGTTGCTGCTGACACCAGGGCTGTGTGGCCCCTGCCCCTCCCTGATTCAGCATCCCCCAGGTGCCAGCCCAGCACATCCCACTGCCCAAGAGATCTTGTCCTTCCTGGCACGTCAGATCCTTGATAAATGTAATGACATTCAGGAATGGACGCCAAGAACACCTGTCAGGGGCTGGAGCATCAGGGAGAGGAGTTTCAAGACCCTTAATCATGGAGAGGATTTGTGCATCACTGGACGGCCCAGAAGAAGCAGACCCCATCTGCTTACATTCAGAGCTCAGGGGATTGTGCAAGGATGGGATCACAAACATCGCCTGATCTTCCCAGTGTGTGGATAAGAGATGTCCATTAAGCTCAGGCTGATTCCAGCCCTGCCCCACCCCTTTGGACCATTAAATGTGATCCTGAAGCCCATTCCTGGATGCCATCCCTGCTATCAATTCCCTGGCGTGGCAGGAAGGACAAGATCACTTGGGCAGCGGGATGTGCTGGGCTGGCACCTGGGGGATGCTGACTCAGGGAGGGGCAGGGGCCACACAGCCCTGGTGTCAGCAGCAGCAGCAGCAGCAGGGAGTGTTCCCTGTGCAGATTGGCCAGGCTGGAGCTGAGCAATGCCCGGGCTGCTATAAAAGCCCTGTCTGGGCCAGAGTGGAGCAAGCTGTGCCCTGGCCACCTTCTTCTCCTCAGGAACAAGGGTAAGTGCACCAGCGCTTCTGCTGGTGGCTCCCTGCTCCAACCCCGGCCCCTGTGGCTCAGGTGCTGCTGCCCTGGGCTGCTCTCCTGCCATGGCTGCCCTCTCTTGCAGAGCACCCTCGCATCCCACTCCAAGATGTCCTGCTACGACCTGTGCCCACCTAGGACCAGCGCTGACCTGTGCCCAGTGCCCAGGACCAGCGTGGCTGTGCCTCAGCCCATCGCTGAGAGCTGCAACGAGCTGTGCGCCCGCCAGTGCCCCGACTCATCTGCCTTCATCCAGCCCCCGCCTGTGGTGGTCACCTTCCCCGGCCCCATCCTCAGCTCCTTCCCCCAGCAGGCCGTGGTGGGCTCCTCCGGAGCACCGGCCTTTGGCGGCTCCCTGGGGCTGGGTGGCCTCTATGGCACCGGCGCCACCCAGGCCTCGGGGGGCCTCTGCACCTTTGGCAGAGCCTACGCTGCTCCTGCCTGCAGCCCTTGCGCCCTGCCCCGCTACAGCAAGAAGCTCTGGGACACCTGCGGGCCCTGCTAGAGCCACCAGCAACAGCCCCAAAGGCCCTGGTGCCGCCTCAGCCCAGCATGGACACCTTGAGCTCTGCACAAGCTGCCCTGGCCTCCTGCAGCCCGTGACACCCAGCCTGCCTCTGGCCTGCCCACTGTGCCCCTTCCTGCCTTTCCTGCCCTTCTTGGTACAATAAAATTTTCCTGCATCCAATTACTGTCTCTTTGCCTCCTTTCCCAAATCATGTAAGTCTGCGAACAGGAGGAGTTCCAAGAGTGGGAGGGGAAATGTTGTTGGGGATTGTCAGGTCAATGGATGACTGAAGGGGAAGGTGACGGACATGAGGAATGGGGACAGAGGACAGCACTGTGGGCAAGAAAATGGGACTAAAATGGAGTCACAATCAAAAGATATCTAATGTTGGGAAGAAGCTTGGTTAGAAAAAGGAGGAGAAGGAGGAGAAGGAGGAGAAAGAGGAGAACGACGAAAAAGAGAAGGGGAAGGTGAAGTGGGATGGAGGGAAGAAGAAGAAGAAAGAGGAGAAGGAGGATAAGAAGAGGAAGGAGAATGTAAAGAAGAAAGACAAGAGGAAGTAGAAGAAGGAGAAGAAGAAAGAGAAGGCGGGAAACCAGGATTTGGACAAATATAAAGATGAGAGACTAAGACGTAGCAGGGAGAGGAGAAGGATTCGATGACAATGAAATTTAATGTACAGGGAAGAGTAATGGTGAAGTCTCTCTTTGACTTCAGTCCCAGATCCTTTAGCAGAGCCATGGTTGCACAGAGGGGCAGGTGTTCTGGTAGCCTTTGCCCTGGAATGGCTCCAAGCTCTGTCACCAACCCCACCACTCGCCAACACAACTGCACGTGTGTAAGAGCTCCTGGTCCAAGGGCCAGCAAGTTGGGGGATCTATCTGTCTTCAGGCAGAATGCTCGGAATGCCTTGTCCTTGTGCTTGTCCTTGTCCTTCTCCTTCACCTTCTCCTTCATCTTTTCCTCCCCCTTCTCCTTCTTCTCCTTCTCCTCCTACTCCTCCCTCTAATTCTTTTCCTGTGTCTTATTCTCCTTCTCCTAGTTCTCTCTCTCCTAAGATCTCTGGCTCCCAAAATTCTCCTTCGTGTCCTTCCACTTCCATTCTGACTTCAATTTCATCTACACTTCAACCTCCGTGACCCACCGCATCTTCAGTTTAACCTTCCCCTTCCTCTTAGATTTTCCATTTCCAGTGGTGACCCCAGCATCACCAATTCCCCTCCCACGCTTGGAACAGCCCCAGTCCAATGGATCTTCATTACTCCAGAAAAGGAGGCAAAGAAACAGGAATTGGATGCAGGAAAACTTTATTGTACCAAGAAGGGCGGGTGAGGCAGGGAGAAGAAGGGTGGTCAGGCTGGAGGAAGGCTGGGGGTCACGGGCTGCAGGAGGCCAGGGCAGCTTGTGCAGAGCTCAATTTCTCCATGCTGGACTGAAGCGGCGCCAGAGCCTTTGGGGCTGTTGCTGGTGGCTCTAGCAGGGCCCGCAGGTGTCCCAGAGCTTCTTGCTGTAGCGGGGCAGGGCGCAAGGGCTGCAGGCGGGAGCAGCGTAGGCTCTGCCAAAGGTGCAGAGGCCCCCCGAGGCCTGGGTGGCGCCGGTGCCATAGAGGCCACCCAGCCCCAGGGAGCCGCCAAAGGCCGGTGCTCCGGAGGAGCCCACCACGGCCTGCTGGGGGAAGGAGCTGAGGATGGGGCCGGGGAAGGTGACCACCACGGGTGGGGGCTGGATGAAGGCAGATGAGTCGGGGCACTGGCGGGCACACAGCTCGTTGCAGCTCTCAGCGATGGGCTGGGGCACAGCCACGCTGGTCCTGGGCACTGGGCACAGGTCAGCGCTGGTCCTGGGTGGGCACAGGTCGTAGCAGGACATCTTGGAGTGGGATGCGAGGGTGCTCTGCAAGAGAGGGCAGCCATGGCAGGACAGCAGCCCAGGGCAGCAGCCCCTGAGCCACAGGGGCTGGGGCTGGAGCAGGGAGCCACCAGCAGAAGCGCTGGCACACTTACCCTTGTTCCTGAGGAGGAGAAGGTGGCCAGGGCACTGCTTGATCCACTCTGGCCCAGGAAGGGCTTTTATAGCAGCCCGGGCATTGCTCAGCTCCATCCTGGCCAATCTGCACAGGGGACACTCCCTGCTGCTGCTGGTGCTGCTGACACCAGGGCTGTGTGGCCCCTGCCCCTCCCTGAGTCAGCATCCCCCACGTGCCAGCCCAGCACATCCCGCTGCCCAAGCGATCTTGTCCTTCCTGCCACGTCATTTCCTTGAGAGCTGAGATCGCACCCAGGGCTTCAGGATCACATTTAATGGTCCAAAGGGGTGGGGCAGGGCTGAATTCAGCCTGGGCCATATGGACATCTTCTCTGTTCTTTGCTCTATGACTATCAGGCCTGACAGGAGAAATTTGTAATCTCAGCATTGTGGAACCCCTTGGTACTGAAGGCAAATAAATGGGATCTGGTTCTGGTGGGCTCCCCTGTAATAACCTGATTGCTTCCTTGGTGAAGATTCCTGCAAATCCTGCCCCTGATGCTCCCGGGATGGCACGGATGGCACCCAGGAAAGGGCTCCAGGAACACCTTTAATGGTCCAAATGGGTGGGGCAGGGCTGGAATCAGCCTGAGCCAGATAGACATCTCTGCTTTTTGCCCTATGAAGATCACACCTAACAGGAGAAGTCTTTGTTCCCAGCCTCATGGAAGACCCTGGGTAAAGAGTACTAGACGATGGGATGTGGGTGTTGCTGGAACCCATTCCTGGGTGCCATCCCTGCTATCAAGGATCTGACGTGGCAGGAAGGACAAGATCCTTGGGCAGCGGGATGTGCTGGGCTGGCACCTGGGGGATGCTGACTCAGGGAGGGGCAGTGGCCGCACAGCCCTGGTGTCAGCAGCACCAGCAGCAGCAGCAGCAGCAGAAGGGAGTGTTCCCTGTGCAGATTGGCCAGGCTGGAGCTGAGCAATGCCAGGGCTGCTATAAAAGCCCTGCCTGGGCCCGAGTGGATCAAGCTGTGCCCTGGCCACCTTCTCCTCCTCAGGAACAAGGGTAAGTGTGCCAGCGCTTCTGCTGGTGGCTCCCTTCTCCAACCCCGACCCCTGTGGCTCAGGCGCTGCTGCCCTGGGCTGCTCTCCTGCCATGGCTACGCTCTCTTGCAGAGCACCCTCGCATCCCACTCCAAGATGTCCTGCTACGACCTGTGCCCACCCAGGACCAGCGCTGACCTGTGCCCACCCAGGACCAGCGTGGCTGTGCCCCAGCCCATCGCTGAGAGCTGCAACGAGCTGTGCGCCCGCCAGTGCCCTGACTCGTCTGCCTTCATCCAGCCCCCACCCGTGGTGGTCACCTTCCCCGGCCCCATCCTCAGCTCCTTCCCCCAGCAGGCCGTGGTGGGCTCCTCCGGAGCACCGGCCTTTGGCGGCTCCCTTGGGCTGGGTGGCCTCTATGGCACCGGCGCCACCCAGGCCTCGGGGGGCCTCTGCACCTTTGGCAGAGCCTACGCTGCTCCCGCCTGCAGCCCTTGCACCCTGCCCCGCTACAGCA